CATTCATTGAATTGATGTTGAATTGTATCACTACATTGTAATGATTTCGGTAAGCCATAAACCGATTTATACGGATATCGTACCGTATCCCATTCGGTTTTACCTACAAAACCACGCATTATGAATGATTTATCACCATTGGCCATCCATACATCATTCATAGTGATAATAACACCAATCAGCAACCAATGTGACCATTTTTGTTTATTATAATTATCTATAAACAATAATCTAAACATTTGAAAACAGAAGAATATCAAGAAACAAAACACAAAAAAATAATTACAAAATGTTAATCAAAATTGTCAAATGAAATTTATATGAAAATTCAAGCCATTCTTGTTTTTTTTTGTCCAATAATAAAATTTATTCAATCAAATAATTTGCTTAGACTTTTGAACAAATAAATTTTATTTCTCATTATTGATTATTAAAAATGAAAATTTGTAATTAATCAATTTGTTTTTTAATTTTTAATTTTTAGTTATCAATTTAAAAATAATAACAATAGTAATAATAATGATAATAGTTTTATTAATTAAAAAAAAATATAAGAGAATTTATAAGTTGAAAATATTATAAATTATTCAGTATAAAAAGTATGATCAAAATTAGAAAGATTATTTAACCAATCGGCAAGATATGATTGTTGATTATTCTTATAAGTGTTTGTTGGATCTTGATTAGGATTGTACGCTATTAGTTGTTGATCAGTTTGTGGCTGTTGTAGTGATGATGCTGTAGACGATCGAAATAATTCATATGATGGCGGTGGTGAATCCGATGGTAGTGGTGAATCGGATGATATTTGTGAATCCGATGGTAGTTGTTGAGCGTTAATTTCCGCTCTTAATAATGGAAATGATTCTTGTGCCTGTGCTTGTAATTGTGGTTTAGGTGGATCACCAATGGATGAAAATGAACCAATTGATGATAGTGATAATGTTGTCGATCCTGGTGATGGTACTGGTTGTTGTTGTTGTTGTTGTTGTTGTATGTTGCTATTTAATAGTGATACCAAATCTTCATTTTCATTTATATACCTTATTTCTCCGATAATTTCAGCATGATCTTCATTCAAATATGGAAAATTTAAAAGTGATGATTCTAATAATGATGATGGTGATGCTTGTTTTGGCGACTGATTATTAAAACTTGAAATAAATTCATCATCACTACCTTTAACATGTTGAACATTTATTTTTTTAGGTGGTGTTTGTGTATTATTCCATTCACTTAATTCAACCACTGGTTTATCAATAGAATTCTTGTTTTTTACATTTTTAGCTGTTAATTTTCCATTTTTATTTGGTTTAGATGATGATGATGGGAAAATTTTTCCAAACCATTTTTTAAATTTGCCTTGTTTTTCAACATTTTGTACGGGTTTATCAATATGATCGACAGTTGTTGTTGATATTTGTGATGATTGAATTTTTCTCGCATTTTTTGGTGGACCAATATCCGAAGTTGTCAATTTTTTCGTTGAAATTTTAAATTCTTTACCAATTTCTGCTTGCTCTTTTAGTTTGGCACTGAAAAAACAAATTGGTTGGTTTGTTGCAATCAGAAAATTGTGTTGAATAAAGATTTTTTTCAAGAATAAAACTTACTTGGCACGATATTGTCGACATCCAA